GCCCGAGCAAGACTTCGTGGATGAATAAGAGAAGGTTGTTGTCAGGGCCTCTGGCATACCATTCAGGTGGGTCTGTAGAGATTTCCTGGGCCTAGCTGCAACCTCATGTAGAGCTCGGATCATCAGAGGTGCTGCCTGAGAATTTTTTCACATTTGTCATAAATAAAAAATGTTGGATAATGAGATAGTTGATAAGTGGGGAATAGGTGTATATACTAAAACTCTTGGACTTAATACATAAGTATGAAGACTTACAATAGGTATCGAAAGGTTTAACAATAGTGAAGAATTAACATAGTTGAATTATCAGACATAGGTTTGTCAGGATTTTTTTTTCTCAATTAATTATAGAAACAGTCCTCAGATTATGAACAAGATCTGTTCCTAAATCTGTCTTTAAGTCAAATTTATGTGTAAGATGGAACAGTTAGGTAAGATTAGTATCTAATGTCAGTCAAATGTTTGTATTAGGGTATAATTTATTGTGTACTTTTCTATGCATAAAAAAATTAAATACTTCCACTATATTAAAACATCTTTAATAATAATGTTTTGATATGCTTCACAAAGTAGCACCCATTTATTATGAACCATTGTATATACCTCCAATACTCATTTTAATTGGCTTTATGAGGTTTGGTTCATAACTGGGTTGTATGTAAGTTGGACATTCATAGCCTGGGGACTGCTTGTAGTTGTCATATTCTCCATTCTACTTTACTATGGTGGAAGTTCAGTTCTTTATCTCTAAACTTGCTTTATTTTTGTAGTAGAAGTAAGAACAACAATTCACTCAAATAGTGCATTTAATAGAGACATTCAGATGCAACACAGTGTGTGTATTCCTGTATCTTACTGTTACTTTTGAGAAAAGGAAAAGTGGCTTTGATCATTCTCCTCCCTCAAAGGATCTATATGATATTCTTGCCAAAAGAATGAAACCCACTTCTTCCTAGTAAAATTCGCAAAGGTTGGTCAAAGTGAAACCTTTCCATTGATTCTTTGTAGCCAGTTATCAGCCATTGAGGAAAATATTCCTTATAAAGCACTGGAATTACCTTCTATATTTTTACACACATAATACATGTGTTTGACTTTTATTTTTTGGCACACCACAAGCCCCTCATGTGTTAGTTTGCTAAGTTTGTGTGCATGTTATATGTGAGTACATTATTTATGTGGTGCATTATTTGTGAAAATATGATACTGTTATTTAAGTAAGGCAAGAATGGACATTACTAAAAACAGTGACTAAATGGAGAATACATGTAAAAGAAAGCATTAATAGAATATCTTAGTGTGTGGAGCCTAACGCCTTTTGACTTATCAAATGAATGAGAAAAAAATAAATCTATAGATAGTCTCATCTCAGGGACTGGATAAATAAGTTTAAAAAAATTACACAGATGAAAGACAGTATATTTGACAGTGTTACTGCTGTCAGTTATACAACAGACCTTATATTAGAAATTTTTTGAATGACTGGCAGTGATGACTAAGAAAACCCTAATAGAAAACTTGTGTATAAGATAAAAATGCATTATTAAGAGTATTTAGTGAAAAATTTTAAATATTTTTAACACAAAGCAACTGGTTTCATTTCTCTTAGTTCTTTCCAGTCTTTCTAGTCTTTATCCATATATGTGTACATATTTTTACATAATTTAAATCATAATCTACATACAATTTTATATTTTATGTCTTGCTTTATAATTCTTAAATATTTCTACACTGCTGTACTTTTTATATTTTAATAATCAATGCTGACATAGTTGTTGTTGTTGTTATGTGCTGTCAAGTAGGCCCTGACTCATAGTGACCCCTCCTTGGGTTTCTGAGGCAGTATCACTATGGAAATAGATTGCCCAGCCTTCCTTCCAAGGAGTGGCTGGTGGGTTTGAACTGCCAGCCTTCTGGTTAGCAGTCAAGTCTTCTAAATATTCTGTTGCTTATTTAACCTTTCCCTTATTATTGGACTTGTACATATTGTAAATAGCACTCTGGTAAACATTTTGTACTTGTAAATCTTTTTTTACTTGACAGTTATATCCCTGAGATACATTTCCAGTAGCGGAGCAATGAATGTATATATTTTCATGATTATTGAATTATATCTCCAAATTATTTTCAAAATGGATCATATTAGTCTTAAGGTGCTACTGGAAAAGTAGATGTACACCATTTGCATTGTAATTGCCAACAATAGGTTTTAGAATTTTTTAAAATGCTAGCTTAGTAGGTATAAAATTATACATTATTTTCAATTCGGTTTCTAGCAAAACCGATGGCTAGCAAAAAAGTTGAACATTTTCTGTGACTCAGTTTATTATTTGTATTTTCTATACTGTGACTCTGGTAGCATAGTGTCTAAGGCGCTTGAATGCTAACCAGAAGGCTGATGGTTCAAACCCACCAGCCACTCCTCGGAAAGAAGGTTGGGCAATCTACTTCCATAGTAATACCGCCTCGAAAACCCAAGAAGGGGTCGCTATGAGTTGAGTTTACTCAACAGCACATAACAACAACAATAACAACAAACTGTGACTTACCTATTAATTTCATTTACCCACTCATCTGTTGGGTTTTCATGGTTATGTTTTATATGTATTTTAAAATATTAAGCCTTTGCCATACTGATTGCAGATATTTTCCATTTCAATTATTTATTAGTTTTTTTACAGAAGAGTTTTAGAAAGTAATGCTGTGTTATATACACTATACCAAACCAAAAACCAAACTCACTGCTGTCGAGTTGGATCCGCCTCATAGAACCCTTCCTTGGGTTTCTGAGGTGGTATCTCTACAGAAGTAGATTGCCCAGTCTTCCTACCGAGGAGTGGCTGGTTGGTTTGAACCGCCAGACTTCTGATCAGCAGTCAAATGCCTTAGGCACTACAGCACCAGAGCTCCCATATACTATAAAGATGTATAAAATTTTCAGTAATTTTTCCTGATTTAATTGTTTAGGCCTGAGGTACTAATTTTTAATGGGGTTATAAGGATTTTGTTTATATGCTAAGTTTATAAGCTATATGTTTATATGCTAAATTATATTCCTTTGAAGAACTTAAATATTTGTTAGGTGAATGAATGATTGGATTTTCTTTCTGGTAGCTGTTTACCTCTTCTCTCTGACTCTTTCTTTTCCTACCTATCTCTGTATCTCTTTCTGCTCCCTTTATCACAATTTCTTTTAATTTTTTTTCTGCTTCTTTCTGTTAATGTTGTCATTGTTATTTGTTTTGTTTTTATACCTTGAAGCAATGGTTCTTAATTCAAGGAAGTTTTCCCCCTGGGGGTACATTTGACAATATCTGGAAATATTTTTGGTTGTCACAACTTGAGGGAGGGAGTGTACTACTGGCATCTAGTGAGTAGAGGCCATTGGTACTGTTCTATACCCTGCCGTGGACACATAGCCCCAAAACAAAGAATAATGTAGCTTAGAATGTCAGTAGTTTCAAGGTTGAAAAACTCTGCCTTAAAATAACATACCTTTTCCTCCATCTGCCTGCAAAGTAGGAGTGAGCAAAACAAAGCAGAAGTAATGGTTTACTGTTTCAGGAAACCCAGATGTAAGAAATGTTTGACTAAAGAAGGAAAATTACTAAAGCCTCAAAATTAGGGTGCCTGCTCATCTCACCACAGGCTTGTGGAATTTTCTAGGATTTGAGATGGGTAACTACTGCCAAGAGGAAATCTTCTTACCTATTACTGATGCTCACACATATTCTACCATTATTTACTCAGCTTCTCATAGTATTACATACTCAGATCTCTGACTTGTTTTTATGATTTACACTGAAGACTTTGCTGATTTTGCTATTCATCATTCATTTTTTGTCATTTTGTCAGTTTAAAATGGCCAGTGGATCTACCTTTGCCTGAAAGAAAGACTTCATTGCTCTTAAGATTGTGAGACATTGAAAGGTTTCATATTTTTGATTGTGGCATGGTTCTAATTGTACTAATCTAGCTAGAACTCAATTCTTGCCTTAATTTTGCCTTGCTTAAACATAAAGCTATCATCACTCATATTATTTATGCAGTGTGGTAAAATGTCACCTTGTTTCAAAGTGACCTTGAAGTTAGAAGGATCCTATGTTTTTATTCAAATATAATATGTTGAATGTTTAGTATTTTCAGTATATAATGGAGGGCTGGAGAAATTTCACAGGGCAAGTGGGTGGTTATAAATCCTTTCATCGGGATCAAGATCTCCATTTCAGGGAAGTAAGGAAAATCCAGGTGGTATTTGGAAGAGAATTGTACAGACTTATGCTTTATTATGGCAGCTTTTGAAGAAAATTAAGAACAAGGCATAGCAAACAAAAAAATGAGACAGGATCTAAGATGACCTTATAGGAGATAAAACCTCAAAAGTTCATTTGTTAACTGGAGAGAGTGCCTACAGATTTAAAAACGACAGGAGGAAAGGCACAGGCAAGCCTCGAAAGGATTGTTTACTACTTAAAACCTTAGTGGTGTCATAGATTTCCTTCTGTTTTCACTGTATAGATATCTTGTATTACTCTTTAATGTTTAGGGACAGGTGTATGTGTCATACACAGACGTGAGGAGGAGAAACATAAGTTTATTAAAAATCCCTGCATGCATTTTAAGATCAAATAGAGTTTTTATTCTAAAACTCCGTCATAATATAGTAAGATTTACCTATGTATTTAAAACAACAGTGTTTTTGACTATAGTGTACTAAGAAAGATGAAATGGAGATATGTTTAGAAACCATAGTAAAACAAGCAGAAAAATCAGGCCCCTGCGACTTATTAAAAGAGTATTCTTAGTGTTTTGAGATAGTGGACTTGAGTTAAGAAAATCATGAAATTTGTAAAGAAATTTAGACTTTTCATAGGATAGAATTGCTGTGTTGTGTGTTGTGTACTCTGTTTTGTCTCATCTTAATAATCATGTTTTAACTTTATGAAGTAGACTTCAAGTTTAGTTTTTAAGAATTGAATTTTCTGTTTTATTTTTTCCAGTGAATATCACTTCTGCCAGGCAATTAACTGGATGTAGTCGCTTCAGCCATATTTTCCCTTCATCTGCTTATCAACACATTAAGATGCATAAGAGAATTCTAGGGCACTTGTCATCTGTCTATTGCGTAGCATTTGACCGAAGTGGAAGAAGAATTTTTACTGTGAGTTTAAAATTTATGATACTGTAGTATACTGTAGATTTATAACAACTAAAGCTAGACTTCATAGTGTTGCTTTATGCTTTATAAGGAATTCATCCTTTTTTGGACATGTGAATGCAGAAAAAGATGATTGGAACCTGAAAATCCTTTCTCATTCTATATGAGTAAATGATGAATTATAAATGTTCTCTATCTTTTGGGAAATTTAATGTAAAAAAATTAAATCTTCAGAAGGCCTCATTTTCTAGAACTTGTTAATTTATGTGAAACAAGGTTTGTTTCTCATTTTCAATTCCTTCCATTTTAGCAGACATTTATTAAAATGAAGATTCATTCTATTTAGCATAATTATTACCAGTTTTACTTTATTATTAACTACAGCATTTTTATAACTGAATAACTGAACTGTGTAGTTAGTTGAAGATTATAGTTGTTTTGTATATCTTTCTTTAATTTCAGCACTGGTTATTTTTTAAATTGGAGTTTTAATTAACCAGATATGCTTTATATGTATTATATATACATTAACCATATATGCTATATGCTTTTGAGTACAGAATTGTAGCACACATAGTGTTTTAAAGAAGCTGCTTAATCTCATTGCTTCAGTGTTAAGTTAACATAGAAGTATGGGTAATGGCATAGTTTCTTTTTACATTTGTATACTACAATAAAGGAAGTAGTTTGCACTTAGGGAAGTTGTGACTCTTGGAACTCGTACAAGATTCTTCCATTGACTTCTTCATGACTCCAAAAGTGTCATGTTAGTATTTGCATGTGATGATCAAGATGAGGATAGTAGTTGTCCTATTTTTTAAAAATGGATAATTATTAAATAATTTATCTCCCATTTTTGAGGAGAATTGCTTCTTATTATTTTTAAAGCCCTTGAAATTCTCAATAGGAAGTTGAACTCAGTATCTTCACCAGACATTATTAACAGCCTCATGTTTACTGAGAAATCCATGTACGTTTTAGATTACATTTTTAAGTAAATATAGAGGAAAAATATTCAAGTGATTAAGAAAAAAAGGATGTCTGGCCAGAGATAGTTAATACCAAGTCACTTAAAAGTGAGTTAAAAATATTTTAAGCTATTCAGATTTGTAGTTTTGAGATGTTCTTCACAAATGCCATTGCCAGTTTGGATACTGCTTTCAGTGCTGTCATTTAGGCATTGTTTATATATACTACTGAATCCGTATTATATAGGATAGAAACTAAAAAGGAAAGTCTTAGAAGTGATTGAATACAGTCCTCCCTTTATCCTTTTCCTTGCTTATTTTGTCTTGTTTTGTGTGTATGTGTGTTTGGTGGCCAATTTCTGCCTCATTGTAAATCTCCTGTACTTTTGTGTCACTGTAGGGTTCAGATGACTGTTTGGTGAAAATTTGGGCTACAGATGATGGGCGCCTCCTTGCTACACTTAGGGGTCACTCTGCTGAAATATCTGACATGGCTGTTAACTATGAAAACACTCTGATTGCCGCAGGCAGCTGTGATAAGGTTGTAAGAGTGTGGTGTCTTCGGACTTGTGCACCAGTTGCTGTCCTTCAGGGACATTCAGCTTCTATTACTTCCATACAGGTAAGAAAAATGAAGCCATGCCTCTAACACAATGCAATAACAATGAATATTCTCTTATATTTCTTGTTACATTATGTGGATAATACAAGGAACAATAACAAAAAGATGCTGTTCTCTTAAGGGCTTTGCTTCTATCCTGCAGACAGATTTTTTTTTAAGAGTTCTTTTTCATATAAATTTATTCCTTTTAAAAATAAGTAAAAAGATGACTGAAGTGGTTCTTCAAATACAGTATGAAACAACTCTCTCTACGATGTGTGATTAAGGGAGAAAACCAGTAAATGCCTTAAGAAACACACTAATACCTGTTAATTAAGATATAAACAGGTTTTAACTTGAATATCAGAATACTTTGTGGTAACATTTAATGCAGGATCTTTGTCACTCAGATTTTATGTGTGTATATTTGTATATAGTTTAATGATAGAGAAATTTTTATTCTTAATTTTAGTGACTTCTTATTTTAAGTTGATGTTTGACATATAAATTCATAAAACAGGTACATTGGTTTCTTTTTAATATGTATCCATTTAATGTTTTTACCAGATCTTGGTAGTAAATGTCCTAGAAACCCTAAAGTAATTTTTATTCAATAAAACAAAATAAGCAGAACCTTATCATCTTCTTTAAAGGTGCTGAGAGCAAAGCAAGAATCTTTCTGAATCTATAATTTACACTTAGGTCTAGGATACTACTTTTGTGAATGGGACAATTATTTTCATTTACTTTACTTTGGGCATTAGTATGGCAGTGTGGGTTTTTTGTTTGTTTGTTTGTTTGTTTTTTGTTACTTAAATAACATTTCACCTATTTTGGTGAGCTAGCAAGAATTGGATTGAATGTGAATTGGATTTAAACATGTGTTTGTCAAAATTTTGCCCAATTTCAAATATTTCATTATTTTGTGTGGGGAGAGTACCAGTTACTGCGGTCCTACCATCTTATCTTTTTGATTATATCTGGAATTTGAAGATACTCTCATAAAACTGAAAATGATGACTGTTTGATTACTTGTTTGGCTCTTTCATAGTTTTGTTTGCTAGTTTTCTTTAATTCTGCACTGTTTGAATGTTGGAGTACCCTAGAAATCTGTGGACTTTTTCTCTATTATAATCTTTCTGTTGGTGATTTCACTGTGTCTCATGGCTTTAAGTATCAACTATAGGCTGATGATTCTCAACTTTATATCTCTATCTTGGACCTTTCTTTTAGCTCCAAACTTGTGTGTTCAACTACCCTTTTGGCATCATGAATTGGATGTATATCAGGCATCTCAAAATTGACATAATTGATATTGAACCCCTCATCTTTCTTTCCCAAATCTGCTTCTCCCAAACATTCCCCATTTCAGCAAATAGCAATTTAATTCTTCCGGTTACTGAAGTTAGAAACTTTGGAGTCAAGTCTCATTTTTTTTTTCTTCTTACACCCCATATCTAACTGGCCAGCAAATCATATCACCTCTACCATCAAAATATATCCAGACTCTGACAAATTCTCAGGACCTCCGTCATTAATTAATACCCTATTCCAAACTGCTGTCATCTCTGGCCTAGATCATTGAACTAGACTTCTAATTGATCTTCCAGCTTCTTCCCTTCTGCGGTATAGTAAATTACTTAGTGTGGCTTTTCTACCCATAAGTCTTTGTAAACTCCAAGATGGGATTTTCTATGAGCAGCTGAGGAGCTCCTGATTGCTGAAGTTGTCCACCTGGTGTATTTCTGTTGGGAGTGGCACAAAACAATGTTTGGGAGGTGCCCACTCTCTGTCAGGTGCTTAGAGTTCTGATGCTATGATTTGCTAGTTTGACCACCCTGCCAGGCTCAAAAGGAGGCCTCCTAGAGGCAGAACTCTCTCTCTGACTGCTGGTTGAGGAAGGTGTGCTGCGGAAAGAGACATGCACCCCAGAAAGAGACACGTGCTGCTGGGAAAGAGGCGCAAGAGACTCGCATCGCTGAGTGAGACACCAAGGGACCAGCACTGCTGGGAAAGAGACTGTGAGAGATGTTGGCCGAGGGACGGTGGGATGGGAGAGAGACTGAGCATTTTTCTTGAACTCAAATTGTAGCCTCGTGCTTCCCTAATAAACTTCATAATCTGTGAGTTCTGTGTGGCCACTGCAGCGAATTATCGAACCCAGGAAAGAGGTGTTGGGTGCTTTGGGAGGATAGGTTGGTGAAAGGGCTGGAGGGAGGCAGCATGTCTGGCCTTGCAGTAATAGGCCTTGGGTTACTGCTGGTAATCCTGCCTTCCCCTTGTAGTGTTAGAGGAGGTCGGAACATGTGGCCTCCTCGCTGTTTTTGGACCTTCCCTTCCTCTTGCTACAATCTAGCCTTTACTCAGTAGCCAGAGTAATTTTAAAAGGATTGTTAGATCATGTCATTTGTGCTCAGAACTCTCAGTAAAATCCAGACTCAAAGTTAAAGCCAGTGCCTTTAAAGTAACCTACAAGGTCTTGTTCTTTTTGACCTCATCTCACAATACTCAATGCTCTTTCTCACTCTCCTTTAGTTTTTGGCCTTTCTGCCTTTTCTTGAATATTCTGGATACACTTTTGTCTCTGCTCTTGCGATTTCCTGTCTCTGGAATGGTCTTTCTTCAATATCCACACAGCATATTTCCTCCTTTTCCACATGCTTTGCATAAATATTACCCCAGGGAAACATTCTCTGACCATCTTACCACTCTGTTTAAAATTGAAGTCCAAATTCAGAGCACTGGCTCTAGGGCTCTGGAGGAAGTTCTTTGTCTCTGAGCTTCTGCTCCTGGGTGATCTTCCTGTGGCTTAATATCTCTCTTCCTCTATCTCTGTTCTTCTTGCTTCTTTAATCTTGCTTAATCTCTTTTTTTTCTCAAAAGCAGTTGACTCAAAATACACCCTTCACAAATTCTGTCTTATTAACATAACAAAAAAACCTTTCCCAAATGGGAATATGACCACAGACATGCTGTTGTTGTTATGTGCCCTCCAGTTGACCCGACTCATAGTGATCACTCCTTGGGTTTTGATGAGGTATCACTACAGAAGTAGATTGCCCAACCTTCCTTCCGGGGAGTGGCTGGTGAGTTTGAACCCCCAGCCTTCTGGTTAGCAGTCAAGTGCCTTAGGCACTATGCTATCAGAGCTCCTAATCACAGACATAGAAGTTAAGATTTCAACACATATTTTGGGGGGACATAAGTCACTCTGTAACATTCTCCAGTATACTCTCTATTCCCCTTCTTAGTTTTACATTTGTAATAGGAATGATCACAGTTTGGCATTCTATACTCACTGCCATCGAGTCAAACCTTGACTCATAGCGACCCCTCCTTGGGTATAGTAACTCTGGTGGCTTAGTGCCTAAGGCATTTGACTACTAACCAGAAGACTGGCAGTTCAAACCCACTAGCCACTCCTCAGAAGGAAGACTGGACAATCTACTTCCTTAGTGATATTGCCTCGGAAACCCAAGGAAGGGTCACTGTGAGTTGGATGTGACGCGACAATGGTAGATTTGGGTTTGGCATTCTATATCCATTATTTATTATTTGTATATTGACTACCTATTAAGTTCATGGTGTATTATCCTTTTAATTTTCTTTTCACTTAATTTCTCTTCTTTCCCTTTTTTAACAAAATTGAGATAATACATTATGGTTATAGTGGTTACCTCTGGGTAGTGGGAAAAGCAACTTTTATTCTGTTTTTCTATATTTTATAAATTTTTCAATAAGTGGGTATTGGTACATTGGAAATAAGGACCATAAATTTTCTTTAAAATCTCTAACATAATTTCTCGTGGTGCTCTGGTGGGGTAGTGGTTAAGGCATTTGGGTGCTAATCAGAAGATCAGTGGTTTGAACCCAGCAGCTGCTCCAGGGAAGAAAGATGGGGTAGTCTGCTTCTGTAAAGATTTACAGCCTTGGAAACCCCATGGCGGCCACTGTGAATCAGTGAATTGGATGGAATCTACTCAATGGCAGTGAGTTTGGTTTGGTTTGGTTTAACGTGATTTCTCATTTAAAATCAATCCAATTAAAGTACATTTGAATAGGCCAGGAGTCCTTGGGCAGTGTAAAATTAAAGGTTGGAGGTTAGAGTCTTCTCAGAGGTGCCTTAGGAGAAAGGCTTGGTGATCTACTTCCAAAAGAATCAGGCATTGAAAACCCTATAGCACAATTCTACTCTGACACACATGAGGTCACCATTAGTCAGAATCAACTCTACAGCAACTGGCTATATAAGGTTACTGTTAAGAATAGGCCAGACCTACATTGTAATTGATGAAGCATTTTAAATATTACAGGGATAGTAAAGGTTTCAGTATTCAAATTTAATAAAATTATACTATTCCATATTTAAGTGTTTCATTCCCATAGATCAAGGATCAGCATATTTATGGGCCAGATAGTAAATATTTTAGGCTTTGCAGAACATGTGGTCTGTCAAAACCTGTAGTACAAAAGCAGGCATAAGCAATACATAGGACGACTGTGTCCCACTTTATTTATTTAGATAAACAAGCAGAAAGGTGGATTTGCACACTCCTGCAATAGATTGTGGATTAAGCTTTTCAATACAGTCTTCTCCTCTCTCAGAAAAGAGTCAGAATCAACTTGATGGCAGTGGGTTTTTTCTTTTTTTTTTAGTACTGGTTTCTTTACTGTAACTCAATTATTAATGTGATATTAATTGATTTTTTTTGTTTGAAGTCAACTCTGCAGTTTTCAGAAATTCTGTGCTTCCAAACAAACAAGAAAACTAAGTAAAAAATAACATCTAGTGGTAGCTTTCTTTTGGTTTGAATTACAATTGTATTCAAATCCTGTAATATTGATCCTTAATCTTTAATCATCCTCTTAGTGGAAATTGATCCTTATGTATATTTGCAATCCTTAAAACTGAGAAGCATGCTATAGAGCCTATTCTGAATTTAGACTTTTTCCTGTATCCCAGGTATCAGGAGCCCAGTAGCTCTTCTGTGAGTCTCTTCTGAGGAGGTATAAAATCCTGAAAATCAGAGCCTGGGAAGCTAGCTGTGATTCAGCTGGGGTTGTTGTTGTTGTTGTTGTTGTTATGTGCCGTCGAGTCGGCCCCAACTCATAGCGACCCTTCCTTGGGTTTCCGAGGCAGTATCACTACGGAAGTAGGATTGCCCAACCTTCCTTCCGAGGAGTGGCTGGTGGGTTTGAACCGCCAGCCTTCTGGTTAGCAGTCAAGTGCTTTAGCCACTAGTAGTCCTTTAAATTAACAAGTGACATATATTTTTTCTTAATCTATTTTTCCCATGATGATATGACCTATTGATTTGACCTATTTTATTTCATATTATCCATGTCAACAAATGAACATGATTTAAATTTTAAAAGGAAAAAGGGTGATACTTACCTTAATTTCAGTTGAGGTTTAAAATAAAAGTACTAAAATCCAAATGCTTAGGAATAAATTCCTAATCAGTGCTTTTAATTTATTTCTGATGCCCTTATCATCCCCAAACCAAAATTCACTGCCCTCACATCGATTCTGACTAATAGTGATCCTATAGCATAGAGTAGAAATCCCCCATAGTATTTCCAAGTCTGTCTCCTAGGAACTAAAAAAATTCACAGTTGTTGCTCTATATAAGTGCAGCAACTGAAAAGAATTGGTTGATGTTCGCCCATTTAGGAGGTGGTATATGATCAACAACCAATGGTATTAAAGGAAGAAGTCAAAGCTGCACTGAAGGAATTGGCGAAGAACAAGGCTTCAGGAATTGACAGAATACTCATTGAGATGTTTTAGCAAATAGATGCCACGTTGGAGGCACTTACTCGTCTATGCCAAGAAATTTCAAAGACAGCTACCTGGCCAACTGACTGGAAGAGATCGGTATTTGTACCCATTGCAAAGAAAGGTGATCCCACATAATGTGGAAACTATCAAACAGTATCATTAATATCACATGCAAGTAAAATTGTGCTGAAGGTAATTCAAAAACAGTTGCAGCAGTATATTGACAGAGAACTTATAGAAATGCAAGCTGGATTCAGAAGAGGATATAGAACGAGGGATATCGTTGCTGATTTCAAATGGATCTTGGCTGAAAGCAAAGTATACCAGAAAGATGTTTATTTGCGTTTTGTTGACTATGCAGAAGCATTTGATTGCGTGGATCATAACATACTATGGATTATATTGAGAAGAATGGGAATTCTAGAGCACTTAATTGTGCTCTTGAGGAACCTGTACATAGACCAGGAGGTTGTTGTTGAAAAAAAAAGGGGGGAGGGGGATACTGCATGGTTTAAAACCAGGAAGGGAGTATGTCAGGGTTGTATCCTTTCACCATACTTATTCAATGTTTATGTAGAGCACATAATCCGAGAAGTTGGACTGTATGAAGAGTGTGGCATCAGTATTAGAGGAAGACTCATTAACAACCTGCAAAATGCAGATGACACAACTTTGCTTGCGGATAGTGAGGATGACTTGAAGCACTTACTGATGAAGATAAAGACTCCAGTCTGTAGTATGGATTACATTTTAACATAAAATGAAAATCTTCACAACTGCACCAATAAGCAGCATCACGATAAATGGAGAAAGGATTAAAGTTGTCAATGATTTCATATTATTTGGTTTCACAATCAATGCCCATGGAAGCAGCAGTCAAGACATCAGGCAACATATTGTGCTGGGTAAATCTGCTGCAAAAGACCTCTTTAAAGTGCAGAAGAGCAACGATGTCACTTTGAAGACTAGGGTGCACTTAACCCAAGCCGTGGTATTTTCAGTGGCCTCATATGCATGTGAGAGCTGCGCAACAA